TGTTTGTGTGTTGATTTGGTGTGCATATGTGTGTGTGATTCCCCTGGGTAAATTATTCTGTTAAACATTACCACCACCACCACCTGTGAGCTCAGCTATCTAAAATGAAAACAAACTGCACGTGTTGACAGTTTTACACATTCTGAACAGCTTTGTTGTCTGCAAATATCTAGTTTGTTAAAAATGTCAGTCTTTTTTAATGATTTTATTGGAAGTTTGTCTCACTTCTGTGGAGCAGATTAATAGTTTGTTAGCTCACACCAAGGTGGTTGTCTTTTATAAAGAAAATGTTGCTTTCTCCTCAGAAAGCCAGTCAGCAACAGCTGGTTTAACCCCAGTTCAGAGAGGAAGATTCCCAGAGTGTGTTTTTAGCCGTCATCTGAACCATCTTCTTTACTTCTTTACTTCACCACCATGATGTAGTGTGAGCAGCCTTTACACCGGAAAACTGCACAGCTTCTCTCCCACGTTGAGCTGGTGACTCTGGAATGTGCGTTCGGCGAGATTTGTCTTTTAATGTGAGGAGTGTGAAAAAACAACAGGGCTGTAAACACCAAGGGTATGGTCCCAGACAGGGTTCCTTGATCCAGATGTGGAGCAGGCACAAAGCTGTCAGTTCAGCCCAGAGCTTTAAGCCCCAAAGCGGTGCCAATGCCGTCCCCGCCGAGGTTCTTCCATTGCTGCAGCCTTAGGGAAGTCTGACGTCTGTAGCCTACCTGTCATGGAGTAAAATCAGACAGATGTGGAGGTTTTACCAAATTCAAAGCCCTGCAGAGTTGAGACAAATAACACAAGTTAATCAGCTTCCCCCACATGACAACAGGCTCAGCACGATGGACTAAAGTTTATGGTTGCATTAAACGGATTCCAGATTTTTCTTTTCTTTTTTTCCTTTAGTCCTCCAGTAAACCATTTAGGAAAGAGCTGTGAGCGTTGGCGCACGTTTCTGGCGTCACACACTGCCTGGCAGCGATTAGGCAAACTCAAAGGTCGGACTGAAATAAAACATTTTAGAAAAGAGTCCTGAGATTCAGAATTTTAATGTTCATGCAGTAGCTTTATCTCTCTCTAAAAATATATATATATATATATATATAAAATTAAATCACATATATCGCTATTATTAGTACAGAATAATTTCTATGCTTGCCTCTAAACCTTTATCCATAACTGGAATTTTTCTCCTTTTTATCTAATATTTTTGTTGTCTTTTCATTGAAAGGATGATTTTTTATCGAATATCATAAGCTCCTATACTGATTCAGGTATTTATATTTTAACTGTCAGTTACATTATCTTTTTTGTTGTTCCTGAATTAATATCTGATTTTTCTTGATTTCTCTCTTCTTCTTATATGCAGATAGAAATTAGAAGTTAGAATCTAATTACAATAATTATCAGTAGTCAAAATGAAAGAAATAGGATGAATATTTTGCAGCAAAATACAGAAAATTAAAAGGAAATGAAAGTAAACTTAATAGAAAAGGTATTCTATCTCTCAATTTTAAATGAAGCACAAAGTTAATTAAATTAAATAAACAAAATTTCATATCTTTAAGCCACAGAAAATTGTAAATATGTATTTCTATTCTGAGAATTAAAACATACTTTTATTCTTTTGGTGAAATAATTCCTTAGGTGAAACAGATAATCAAATAATTAAAATGATTTTATTTTAGAGCACATTTTAACTTAAATCACACCAGCAGAAAACCATTAACTTTTTTTATCTAAAAGAATATTAAAAATTCTTCAGACGTAACCCTGTCAAACAGCATAAAACAAGATGACAGAAAGAAATGATATGATCATAAATGCTAATAAAAGCATGTATTTCTGTTTGAACACAGACATGTCAGCAGTAATCTGCTGGAGGGTGGATTTTATTCATGAGAATCAGGATTGTGCTGAACTCTCTGAGCCCCCGACCCGCTAACAGAAAGAATTCAAGAGAAAAATGGCTGCACTTGAGGAATGAGACTGGGGCTGATGGAAGTATGAATGTTCCTGTGTGAAGACGCCCAGAGGAAAGATTAGGGCCGTTCATCTTCTGCCCTTGCTGTTGCTCCTCCTCTGCTCCCTTTACTCCTTTGCTTTTTTTCCCCTGCGGCAGAAAACAGTCATAGAAAAATGTCAGCCTTTCTCTTTGCTTTGGCTTTGTTGATCCATAAAGGACTGACAGCCGCCTTGTTTAGTGTGTTTCACTGCCAGTCAAAGTTTTCTATTCTTTCACACACAACAAAATAAAGGAGGAGAGCAGAAAGCATATCTACACTCATTCACATTGGACTTTACCGTGAACAGAATTTGGTTCAAGAATATGGTTACCTTCTTGTTTCTAATAGCTTGTTTTGCTGCTATACATCTCAAAGCTGATGTCAAAAAAAAGAAAAGACGTGGGTCAACATAGTAGCCTGAGTTGGGCCCCAGTAACAGAGTTACTTGTAGAACATGACGTACCAGCGAAGAAGATCACAGCTGCGGCAGTTGCATGGGAATGTGCTTTTAGTTTGTACACAAAGAATGCTGTCACTCTGCATCAAAGCAGCTTGACATACGTATTCAAGGGGTGTGTATGAGTGCACACCTCTATCAAAAAAAGCAGCTGCACGAACCATGCCAACTTTGCAGCCAACAGACGCCAGAGAGTCTGACCTGCATTCAGGGCTGTGACTGTTACACACTTCACGCCCTTTTAGGGTGTGTTGGCAGGGCGACGACCAGGGCCAGGTCCAGAACGGCCCTGTATCATGACTGCAGGGTTAATCTTTGTTCTCCACCCGTAATGCTGACATAATTACAAGCCTTAAAAAAAAAAAAAAAACCTCCTCACCTTAGTCTCTCTGTCCAGACACCTCCTATGAACCCTGTGTGAATCTCACAGTCTGGTTTGTTTTCTGTGCTTTTCAGCTGAAGAAGATGCCTGAGGACAGCCGCCCAGACTTCCAGGTCTTCAAAGAGTTCTATTTTGCTTTTGTTTAGACAATTCATGTATTTAAAATGGAATTTCAACCCATTTTTTTCCTGAACTAAACAAAGCAGAGAGACTAGTCTATACCTGTGTATTTCCACCATTCCCACAGGCATAGGGATGTTTTGAATCTTCAAGGCCTCGTGGATTAGGTCATATATTTGTCCCCCACAGTCGCTTCTCCTCATTGTTTTATTTTGCCAAAATGTTCACAAGGATAATAATTTGTGGTTTTGTTCCAGCCTAAAAGCTTGGAAACTGATCTAACCACCCCCTACCATCCTTTAATACCCACAGATTCTCAGTAGCAGCACACAGGGAATGACATGACCAAAATGATGGGGTTGGACAGCGGCTCAGCACTGCTGCTCAACCCACCAAAGCTCTGCTTGTAATTTCCCTCCAGCACATATTGAAGGCCGTGTGATTTATTTCAGAGTAGATGAGCTATCTGAATGAGCAGGGACACAATGTGAGAGTGCATCCTGTCACTGTGTGGAAACTTTTCTCCACCTGTGGATTCATTAGGCCCTGTGGAGAGAGTAAATGCATGCTGCAGATTCTTTTAGGCTGCGGTTCCCCCCTTATACTCGCTATTGTTGGACGTTCAGAGTCTGAAATCACAATTTGTTATCTGTTCTCAATTTTTGCTTAATTTCTAAATTCTAATTTTATATTGAAATAATAAATGACAAGTGATGTATTATTTCCTTTTTTGTAAACCCATTTCTATGTTTATTTTTGGATGGTCATGGATTTAATTTTAACATTTTGAAGTTAAACACATTTTAATAACCTCCTCAGCAGCGTTATTCCTAAATTCTTCTGATGATAAAATACTTAATCATACGTTTAAACAGGATGCCCATAACTTTGGCAATAATAGTAAAGAAATTGAATAAACCAATGTTGCAACATGCGCAGATAAATGTTGCCTGATTTACTGAAGAATAATAGCAGTGTGTAATGATATGTAGATCCTAAATCTTTTTCATCTAGAAATGTAATTTATTTCATTAGAGTCTAAAACTTACTTTATTTGCACGTGATAAAATATTATACTGCTTTAGAAAGTTGGATGGCAGTGGAAAGGTATATTATAGTTTAAAACAAAGAAATTAAAAACTAATAATTGTAAGAACAAAAAACGTAGAAGGATGTCAGACGAACATGCAGTAAACCATAATAGTTCACTGCATTCCTGACGAACGGAAGTTATACAGGAAATAATATGAAACAGAAAATAATATAACTGTTTATTATAAAGATCAGAAAATTAAATTACATTATTTAAATTGTTATGATGCAACACATCATATATTTATACACATTCCACAATTTACTAGAACTCAATGTTGCACTGGTAATGAAAAAAGCATAAAGTTATATTCCTCTAAGCTGTGTTTAAAAGAAACAAAATGAGAACTGAAATGACTTTTTTAAAGAAAAAAAGAAATGTTTATCACAAAGATTTAAATCGATTTTGGAAGTAAATTAGTAAAAAAAAAATAACAAAGAAGGACAAGCATGTTCACAATGTAAATTAGATTTTTTTTTTAAACAAAGGGACACAAATTTAACATATTGAGGCTATTTTTATCGTCTAACAGCTATATTTGACCTAATGGAGTGTCCTTCAACATGTCCTGAAGTTTATGTAGAAATAAAATAAAGAAGTAGTAAGGCTTGATTCTTTGACACTTTTCAGTCTATCATGAACTTGCTTTTTTGCTTTCATTTTATCTAATTACACATGTTAACATTAAATAGTGTATCATATGACTTTGAACCACAACATCAAATTAAGCAATGCTTTTATGTTGCATGAATAGTTAGTTATTATGTAATAATGTCTAAACCTGTTTTATTTTTTATTCAAAGAAGAGGTTTTATTAGAAAAACGTGTTGTTTTGTTTCCCGCCAGCATATGGGGACTTTTATATTTTCTATCCTTTTTTAATTTATTAAAAAACAGTAATATTTTATTAGTCCATCCGCTCGGAGCGGTGTGCTGTTCCGTCCATTCGTTAATCAATGGGAGGAGGCGCTCTCTCCCATATTAATGAAGTTAATGGTGCTGCTCCGGTGACAGCCTGCTGCTGCAGACCAATCAGAGAGCTCTATGGTGGAGAGCCGCCTGTTAGTCGCGCTGCACGCAGGATCTGTTTGAAGAACCATGTCAGCTCCTCTTCTGATCTAAACATCTTTCGCTTTTGCTTCCTTTTACCTCCAGAAACACCTGCCAAAAACATGCCCGCTGTGACTTTGTCCTGCGTGGACGTTTACCTTTCAAACAGCGCGTTGGATTTAAGGGTGGAACTGCTCCAGATCTCCTTTGCTTTCTGACAGAACCTGATGAAATCCTCCTGAGAGCGGCGGCTTTATGAACTTGCGCATTAACTAAATGATGTCTGTGGGTTTTATGCCCGACAGTTTGAACGGCTCCGATCCCTCCAAGTCGGCCTTCCTGGAGTTCGGCCACGGACACCCGGCTCACCAGCAGCACTCCGCGGGACTCTCACATATTTACCCCGTGCATGGCCTCCACGTTTCCGGACATTCTCAGCACGAAGCCCCCTTTCCTGGCAATGCGTCTTACGGCCCCCCGCTGGGATACTCGTACCCGGGTGCGATGAACGCGCATCCATCATCCGCCTACATGTCCCCCTACCAGCACAGCAGCGGCGGCCTGAGCCACAGCAGATTAGAGAGGACAGGTATGTGGAACAAGCAAAACAAACAACAACAACAAAACAACACGTTGGACCAACGCGTAAATACGCGTAAGGGGCGCATTTTGAAAAATGTATATGGGGGCGTCAGTTATTGTTATTATAATGAAATAAAAATTCTCCTTTTGCATTATCCAGTGTTTTTATTAAAATCGCGGTAAATGATTGTTTTTACTCGCATGGTCTAAGAAACTGTTGCTTAAATCTTTAAATCACAGGTTTTAGATGCTGTATCCGTGCGCATAATCCTGCTTCAATAAAGATGGACCACGTAACTTAAACTTTATTCTCATTTTGGACACAGACTGTATACAAAACGAAATTTCGATGCATGCAGCTTTGAACGGTGAATGAGCAGCTGTCATTTTGTTTTTCTTTTTGTTTTTTTTTTTATTATTTGTTTGTTTTTTGTTCTGGGGTTGTTTTGTTTTATATATTTTTTTTTTTTTGATTGTTTGTTTGTTGTTGTTTTTTTGTTTGTTTGTTTTTTTTGTTTGTTTGTTTTTTTGTTTGTTTGTTTTTTGTTTTTTGTTTTTTTTGTTGGGGCTGTTTAATTAAAAGAACTGCACAGTCAAATGTGACCTGTTCAGCCCGCAGCATGACACCCGCCAGTCAAAAGTTGAAAATGTGCCTCCTAAAACTTTGTTTTCTGTCTCTTATCTCTAAGATCCCAACAAGTCCGCGATCAATGAGAGCAGGGACATCCGTCTGGTGAACGGAAAGGGGAAAAAGATGCGGAAACCCCGAACCATCTACTCCAGCCTGCAGCTCCAGGCTCTGCACCAGCGCTTTCAGCAGACCCAGTACCTGGCCCTCCCGGAGCGCGCAGACCTGGCAGCCAAACTGGGGCTCACGCAAACTCAGGTGGGTGTCCTGCTCCTGCAGGGGAACTGATCGCTGTTAAAATGGGGTTTGATGAACTTTGGGAATCTGTGAAGGATTCAGTTGATTGAAAGTCTGTCTCATGCATATAGATTAACTGCTCAGCCCACTGATTATCTTAACATGCATGTATATTGTTCATATGACAGAAATCACAGCTGAGAAAATAAGGAAAACATTTTGTCCCTTCAAGGATACGAGGGATCATGCAGTAAATTTGTTAATTAATCCTTTAATGAGCTCGTCTTAATTTACTGGGTTGTTTAGTAAAACTCAAACGTGTATGTATGTATTTGTTTATTTATTTAATTGTTTATTTATTCAACTATACTTTCCTGGATTGTATTTGCTTAATGTCGACAGTTTGCGGCCGGATTTAGCTGCTGTGCACATATATTTCATAAAGCGGCAGGTGCAACAGGACATCTGATCATCTTAAGGTCTCCTCGACATTTGTAGGCCTATTTTAATCTCAGCTAGAAAGAAAGAAAGAAAGAAAGAAAGAAAGAAAGAAAGAAAGAAAGAAAGAAAGAAAGAAAGAAAGAAAGAAAGAAAGAAANAAAGAAAGAAAGAAAGAAAGAAAGAAAGAAAGAAAGAAAGAAAGAAAGAAAGAAAGAAAGAAAGAAAGAAAGAAAGAAAGAAAGAAAGAACAACAAATAGAGAGATGTTACTAATAAGTTATTAATAAAATATAAATTGTATAAAATAATTTTGCCTTACATTCTTCTAATCTTCCCCCGCGCCCTGGGCTTGGCTTTATTTCATATTCCTAATCTAAGTTTGTATCAGTTACACCCACGCAAGGAATCTATTTTTTAATAAGTTTAGTGTATCAATCAACTATTATGCAAATTTACCTCACAGGAGGTCTGGGATTTAACAAAAAAATATTAGGAAGTCACAGATCTGGTGAAAAACGGATCAAGTATTTCCCCTCCAATGAAAGTTGTGTGTTTTCATCTTTGTTTTTTCGTGTTTTAGGTGAAAATATGGTTTCAGAATAAACGCTCCAAGTACAAAAAGATCATGAAGCATGGCGGAGGCTCAGAGGGGGAGCACATCCACAGCTCCAACTCCATCTCCCCTTGCTCTCCTTCCTTACCCCAGCTCTGGGAGGTCTCTATGGCAACCAAAGGAACCCAGATGCACCCGAACAATTATATGAATGGTTTTGGCCACTGGTACCCGAACCACCACCACCACCCTGACCAGGACGCATTGCAGAGGCCGCATCTAATGTGAATGGACAGCCAACGGTTGATCGGCCAATATCAACCCACAGGACAGGAAATGACTGATATCTCGTGGGGATAAACTGCATGGTTCCTCGTGCACGTGCTTTTTACTAAATTCAGTTTTTGCTGCAACATTCTATGATGCTCAACTGTTTTTGAAAGTCATTGCAGCTCTTTCTGCAGGACATCAGATCACCTGATTGTGGACTTTGTGTTTGCAGCTGAAATAGACAATCTGTATAAAGGAATTTTAGAGAATGTAATGTGTGGGTTGATTCATTTCACCTAAAACTACCTGCTGCGTAAGAGTTCATCCTTTAATAACTCATCTATTGCTCTTTTCTTGGACAATCTTAAGCTCTAGATCATTTCAATGCAATAACTTCTGAATGATTTATGAGTTTTAAAGTGTTATGTGCTTGTAAGAGCATCCAAAACCTTCTGGGTTATTCCGAATTAATTAATACTTGAATGCAAAGTCAAAACTTAGGATCAACCTTTTGAATACATATTGGATCATCCTTTTCTGCTTTGCGAAACATTTGATTGCAGTTTTTAGAGGTTTTTAATGGATAGATTATATTCCTGGATCTGAGAGTGTTTTTTTTATAATCCAGAGTTTAAGCATTTTGGCGTGTTTTTGTGCAACTTTTACGCACGAATTTAAACCCTTCATTTAGATCAAATACACGAGTCTCGCCGTTTGATCTAATTTTAGATTGGAGGAAAGCATTTTCCTCTCATTTTCAAAAAAGCAAAGAGGCCGTTGCATCTTTGTCGGAAAAGAAGAACAAGGTGACATGCATGTGGTTCCATGCCGTGAGAGGGGAAGAGCGCACGTTTGAGCAGTGAGTTCAAACAAGAAAATCACTGCTGTCATAATACAGTGACAAATGAGCGCGCCAGGCCTGCAACACACTGCGCGGATTGCAAATCCCGCTGCTTACAGTTTAATCACACTCAGATTGGAGCGTTTATCTCTCTGCTGGTGCTCTTGATTAAATCGAGAGCTGATTTCTGATTAATGAAGCTGAAAAGTTCGTACAGAGCCATCCAGTAACTTTATTTAATGTTTTTCATTCATCACCCTGAACATTTCGGGTCTGGCAAACATTAAGAGCAATTTGTCTGATGTCACATACAGGGATTAGAGGAATAACAAACCATGCATTCAGTTTTCCCCAAGATGTTTACCCTAATATTAGTGGGAAATCCTCTGGGGTTATCTGAATTAAAATACCGTCACCGTCAAGGCAAACTTAAAATTCAATAACTACTGTTGGTTTAACTGTTTGTAACTGTTAAACAGGGAAGCAATGTTTGAGAGTGTTTCTGATTTAAAAGCTAAGAAACACTGGATAAAGAGACATTTTAACAATCTCGTTTAAAGCATTAAATTAGGTCAACAAGAGCTAATCCCATACATCTCCATTGTTTAAAATAAACTAAGCTAAAAAAACAGCAAACTTTTTAAACCTAATAAAATTAGATGGTAATTCAATCTATCTTTCTAGCTCTGCTTAAAAGAGGTTAGACTTAAGAGCTACACTGTAAAAAATTATCTTGGGTTGTTGAATATTAGCCAGGATAAACATAAAAATATTTTCATAAGCAATATCAGTTGTTTAAATTTAGATTTTAAAATTAGTCAATTTCCACCAATATCAGCAGCTTTTATTTGGTAAAACTTGGTTCTGTCACATATTAATATTTTAACGCTATCTGTTCTCTGTAGCAGGAAACAGTTATTTTCTTTATTTTTATATATTTTGTTTGAGTTGCCTAATTAATAAATATCCTAATAAGAGTTAAAAATGTTTATTTTAAGAAAGTTTCTATGTTGGAGCAAGAATACACTTCTTTTCCTAGCCTAATGACGGGGCTAATGCTTAAAAAAAAAAACAATCAAACCCTGATCACACATTTTATGGTTGTCAAGGCAACACTTCAGATTTGACCACATTAGCCTCTGAAGCTGGGATTGCTAACAAACTATGCTGTTAAAAAAGCTCAAACTGAATGTGAAAACAGAAACTATCACAGTTATATGTCTCATTACAATCATTAACTTTTAACTTATTTAAATAGTTTATTCAAAACAGAATTCAGCAACAACAACCCAAAAAAAAATGTTTATTTCTTTTTTTGTTGGACACAAAACACAACTGACAAAAAAGCGATAGATTTAACCTTAATATTACGATGAATTCTTTTCAACATATTTAGCTAGAAGTTGACACCAAAAATAAAACAAGGATGTTAAAATTAAAATAATTCTGAAGATATTTTTCCACATTAGTATGGCTGGTTGCAATTTTATAATTACAATGGCTAATATAATATTAAAAAATAAAAAATAAAACTTTCTAGGTTTCCTTTAACTCCTTAAAGTTCAGACACTCTGTAGCAATGAAAGTTTGGTTTTATCTGATTTTACAAAGGAAGAACATTTTTTAATTTTTTTTAATTTGAGTTCATTCAAGAGTTTGTTACATGCAAGAGAATTCTGCTCATTAGTATTTTCTAAAATGTACTACATTTTTTAAAAAGGTCATTCTATCGTGTTTATTTATCAACTTTGACTTTAGAACTGAAGCTTAAACATATGATATGATATCAGATATGAAAATACTATTTGATCTGTTCCATTAAAATACTTTTTCTACCTAAATTCATAAACAGATTCAAATGTTTCCTGCAAAATGAAAGAACTAAAAGCTGAAAGAGAGATGATTGACAGACCATTAAGGTGAATTCTAATCTAAAAATATTCAGGAAAGTCTTTTTTAGACCCATTACTGAATATTAAATCAATAACGTAACACGTCTTTTAGATTTTTAATGGAGGGTGCTTAAAGGCCAATAAAAAGCTTTTTTTTATAGTGTAATTTTACAGCCACATCATTTAAGACGCTCTCATTTAGCAAACCCTCATTCTTGTTGCTTCGTGGAGGAAGAAAACTGCTATTTAAATTTTGCATTTTATGTCTACAGGTTCTAGCTGTTAGTTTTAAGAGAAAAACAAGGTTTGAGCAGAACATCATCTCCTTCAGCTCTTACCTGGCCTGAGGCGCGCAGGAGCTCCTCTGTTTCTGGGAAGAACAAAACGCGCAGCAGAGGCGCGCAGTTTTTCAACCCCTCCGAGCTGATTTTTCCTCTCATAACGAGCCGTTTTGTGACATATTAACATCTCCTTCTTTGTACACCCTTTTCACCTCCTCACTCCTGATCATTATGCTGCCTTGTTAATAAACATGCGGGAATAAGAGGCGAGCGCTGCTGTATGCTGAACCCAGCTGACGGAGGGGGGCATCGGGGAAAATTATAGGTAATTTCACATCTCTAGATTAGAATAATGGCTCTGTGGAGTTGGACAGAGAAGAGTGGGAGCTTTCAAATGGAGGGGGGCCAATTATCACGTAAGCCAAAGTGAAAAGGCCTTCCCTGTGTATTAGACAAGCTGAGAGGAGCGGATGGAAGGCTGGGATGACGGCTTGAAGGTTCCTGATAAAGGCAGCTCTGGCTGTATCAATGATGTGGATGCTTCTGCTTATCAGATATGAGCAGCCTGATGGGTTTTAATTGCAGGATAGCAATAAGAGGGAAAATAGCTTGTTATTAAATCTCCGTTCCTGTGAATGGGTGAATGGCAAAGCAGGTCTCCGGGGCGATTATTGTTATTAACTTGAAGGATCTGACATGCAGGGTAATTGCAAATTCACTCTCTTCCCCCCTGGAAGAGAGTGAATGCATGGTTTCATAAAATAGACCTTGGCTTACAGTTTCAGGGCATGTTGCACAAAAACATTTGGAGATGTGTGGAATAAAGGCCTTTAAATAAGGATGGCCTGTAAGGAAAGGCATCGGAAATACAGTGACGCATGCTTTGCCTGCTCTTCTCCAGCCTGGACTTGTCCTATCTTGGCCTAAAACAAAGGTCAGGCAAAGTTCATGGCTCCGCAGCTGTCCGTGATGCCTTCCTCCCTTCATTTCACCCAGGTTTACAGCGAAATGACCCGCCTGAGTGATCCTAATGCAGCCGGGGACAGCGGGACAGCTGCTGGGAGTCTTTCCGTGGCTGCAGAGCCCGACCTCTGCCTCAACCCGCCTGCATGCACTCAGGAGACAAGCTCTAACACTTGGGGTGTTGAGATGTGCTCCCTGCAAAACACTACATGTTCACGCACATTTCTATTTAATGACTGGCCTATTTAAGATCAATACCGCCTTCTATGAAAGTAGAGGAGTTTTAGCTCAATGGAGCTGTCCACATTTTGGCTAAATTGTTGAAACCCAGGCCTTGTCAGCTAAAGGCATCTTAAAGTAAACACCTATCTCACTTTCAACCACACCTCTTTATGTAGAACAGATTTAAAGTTTCACTTTTCAACCACATTTTGCCTTCTACATCAGGTGTCACTTTCCATAACTTTATAGCAATCAGATATCTCTTTATAGACATGCTTTTTCTCATTTCACACCATTTTATGGAAACCTCAGTGTGTGTATATTGATGTTCCACTTTTTAAACACATTTAAAGATTCATACATGCATTTAGTCAAATTATACTTCATTATTAGACTTATATTTATGTGTCTCTTTTCACCTTTCAGGTTTAAAGCATGTCATTTTTACCTTCTACTTCTTAACACTATTTTGGCATTATTGTCTTATTATCTTACTATTATCTTACTATTTGTCCTATTATCTTTATATTTTTAATCAAATGTGCAGTAAAAAAAAAAATAATGCAACAATTTTTAGCATCTACTTAATCATATTTAGTTAACTTAACACTGCTGTTGTATGTCCCACCCTGCTAACATGAAAAAAATTGTGTTTAAGTAAAAAAAATATATTAAGTAAAATGCCAAACATGGTTGCATTGCTTTAAATATAAGTAAATATTTTACTTTTTCCTGACAATTGTACAAATAATTCTCACGGTATGCTCAAGTTCAACAGTTCTCCAGCCACCTTCCCACACCCTCCATTGCTCTAACACTTGACATATTCAGAGATGACATATATGGACATGCCTGAAAGCCCCCAGCCCACTTGCTGGTGAATGCATGTTTGTCTTCAGCACAAATGTTTCCCCTGACAGTACACAGCCACAGTCCGGAGAGCCCACACACACTGAGGGAGCCACCAGGGGGGGGATCACATACTTTGTGATGAGATTTCATTGATATCAAAAGGCAATAGTCATCATGCCGCTTTTGTCAAATCAGCACTGGGTGCATTTCCATGCTGACTGATGCCATAGACAACTGGTGTTGAGTTTAGGGGACATAAAACACGAAGGGCACGCCAGGGAGATGGGATTAAGGGCTGGGAAACGTTAAGCTGCTTGTAGCTGAATCTGTAAACATGTGCTGGGGAGGTGGTGCCCAGAAAATTATAAGCTAGAAGGAAAAAAAATCTCCTTTATAAATGTGCTTTAAATATTTTTTTTATTTGCAAACGAAAATAAAATATTGTCTTTAATGAACACACACACACATATAGAGGCAGGTTTACTATGATTTTATAGGTTTATAGTGTGCTAGAGTGAAAATAAATCTTAATTAAGGTCAAACATAATTAATTCATTCTCCACTTTTGTATTTAATTTAAAACCTTAAACGGGTGTTACAGTCATCATTGTTGTGTCTGTCTGAATGATCCGTTCTTAGCCTCTTATGAACCCGTTTAAACCTCCAAGGCTGTTATTGCTTTTGATGTTTGACTTGACAAACAGGAATAAACTGATATTTTAAATATAATATTGTAATTTTATGCCTTGACAGTAATGACAGTAATAACAATTATGAGTGACTTGATCTTTTGGCTTTGCCTACAAGGCAGCGCGTCGGGGGAATCTCACATTGTTTGGTGTTTTTATGTTTCTAAAGAAATCTGTTCATAAGAGGAGGTCAAAGTAAATATTAATACAGGAAATGATTCCAAATACGTGAAGAAAAGACCTTTGTCTGGCTGAACAATATGAAAAAAATGTGGAAAAGTGAAATACCAAAAGGTTTAGATAAGGAAAACTGAAAGACTAAGGGATCTACGTATTTAAAAAAAGAGAAAAAAATAAATTAAAGTGAAAGATGTTTGCTGGAATATTTTAAATTGTCTGAAAACTCAAATGCACCAAAAGAAAAAGTTTGCATGAAGACGTCCTCATTTGTATTAAAGCGAGTAAAAACAGAAAGCTATAAACAAGCCCACATAATGATTTCAGTGAGTTTTAATTGTGGTCAAAATTATAAGATTATCCAAAAGTCTTAATATGTTTGTTTGGGATCTATAGAGCAAAAGAACAGATTTTTGCGTAATTGTAGGGATTGATAAAGAAAAGCAGTGCAAACATTAAACAGACACTAAAGATGGCTGTCCACCAGAGCTGCGCCTCCACGGCTGAGCGCGTCCCATTTAATTACCAAAGGCAGCAGAAACCTTCATTAGGAAAAAGGGAAAAGGCGCCGTGGGCAGCCAACATTTTATCTCCGTGGCGCAGTGGTGGTCCATGTGGACAGACTCACAATCAGCGCTTCCTCCATCATCTTATTATTATTTTCTGTGTGATAGATCAGACCAAGCAGCCTGAGCGCACATTTAAAATAATTATCAGATTTAGGAGAGCAGCTGTTTTATTGTCTCTGCTTCTTTATAAATATGTCACTGGGATCCCGGCGGTCAGCGGGTAACACTGGTTCCTCCTAGTTTTCCAAACTAGCCCCACTCTGCTGACATGAACAACACTCCGGCCTACAGCCGCAATTAATCTGCACAGGTTTTCCTCTTCCTCTAAAACTAAATCCTTGTTTAAACGATGTTTAACATCGCAGAATGAAAAAGTATAACTCTATTCAGTGAAATGCGTTGGTGGTCTCTTTGTGCCAACATGTTCTGCAGCAGAAATGCAATAAAAACCAGTGACATGTCTGCAGATATAGCACCGAAAATACAAAAGCCAAGCGGGAACCATTATTATTACTACTGTAGTTTGTTAAATTTGCGGACAAATTTAAAATCTGCGCATTTAAGCAGCTTTTTTCTCCAGTGTTTGTCACCAAAAAGTTACAAAAAACTGTTTCAAATTAATTTAGACTATTTGGGTAGATGTATTTTTACGTACAAGTTGGTCACTTGTTTTTTTTTTTTAAAGAAAATTTTAATTTCCTTTTGGCTTTTTTTTATATTTGGTCACATTCTAATCTTTATTTTCGGTCGGATTGCCTAAATAAAATGCTCCCTTTCAAACAAGCCTTAACCAGCGTCCTGAATTCCCCTGCAGACCCATTGGATTTTTTTTTCCCCCAGAGAAAAGGGCTTCACACAAAACATACAATTAACACTTTTATTCATTAGACAGGAAGGCAACATTTTGAGTCATTACATGAATATAAAAACGGTCTGATAGCACCATGGTGCAGTCTTTCTGGTTCAAATATGATCATAGTGGTTCTGCATATATATATTTATATATAAACACTTATTTACAACCTTCAGATTTTTTTTTTGTACAAATCCTTATAAATATGTCCTGAGTTCTTTTCTCTGTTTTTTTTAGAGTTCTCCACAAACCCACATGCATAATTGGTTGCAGCACAGTTTTGTGATTTTGTGTTCAGGCTACTTATTTTTTTTTTTGTTTTGTTTTGTTTTTTTTATTCAAATTCTTTGCATATTAATTTACAAAAGAAGTTAAACATATGAAGAAAAAAAAAGATAAATAATTTAAAGAACACACCAGATGTCTGTTAAATATGCTGCCAAAAGTGATTAGAAATCCCTTATGTGCTTTTTAAAACTGGATTCCCAGCTCTGAAAACTCTGCGATCATCGAGAGACAGAAAGTTTCCGACCTCCTCTGGCTCCAGGGAAGTTTGCTCTGCAGAGTCACTGTCTGTGGGTAGAGCTGAGGATCTGCGCCTGAGTCCGAGTTAGTAAACAGCTCCCACGCTCTGCTGCGGCACCGGGTGGTGCTGTAGGTGTGACCCCTGCTGGTACCAGTGGTTGGAATAATCCTCCAGGTAGGGCGGAGACGCGCTGTGCGCCGGCTGCTGCACCTGAGGCCGGCCGATCGGCGTGTTCTGAGGGGGGTTGCTGCTGTCCCACACGGCGGGGGAGGGCGGAGAGTTACAGGCCATGGAGTCGCTGGCATTGGGACTATGCTCCAACGGGACTTCACCGTTTTTGTACAGCTTCTTGAACTTGGATCTCCGGTTCTGGAACCAGATTTTGACCTTAGAAGGAAAAAGAAACGAGAGTGTTAATTTAAAACATTAAAATCATTAAATATATAAATATAAAGAGTTATTTTTTATATAATGTATTGTTTTTATATTCTAAACTGGTAAGTTAGCTTAAAATGACTGGAGATGATGAGAGGAACCTCACCTGTGTCTGAGTGAGGCCCAGCTGGGCCGCCAGCTCCGCGCGCTCAGGAAGCGCCAGGTACTGCGCCTTCTGGAAGCGCCTCTGCAGGGCAGCCAGCTGGTAACTCGAGTATATCGTCCTCGGTTTGCGGATCTTTTTTGGCTTTCCGTTCACCATGCGGACCTCAGGCTCTGGCTCCTCTTTCACTGGAAATTCACAACAACAAAGTCCGAATAAATCCAGCTGATCGTAAAAATCAACACGTCAAAAACAAAACAAGGAGGAAAAAAGAGCAATAGGAAAAGCCTATCTGCCCCAAACGATTTCAAACCCTAAACGGGATCATTGTATATAATAATACAAGTAAAAAACGATGTTTATAAGATCCAAACGTAACTAATATAAGTAGCAATAAAGTTAAGAAGTGCATTAAAAAAAAACATATAATAAAATCACCAGAAAAAAAGAGTTAAAACAAAAACTGTGAATAAAATACATGTTAAACCTGCAAAAAAATTAAAGGCTTATGAAACATTAATTTCGCCCTCTTTGAGTATGGACTTTGAGGTCGCAAAGACAAGCCTTTAAAAAAAATAAAAGCTATCCTTTATATACTCATTACATCAATTCCAATTGTAATTTTAGAACATATATTTCCCAATTTATGATATTTATTTATTTGTATATTTTATGTTCTACGATTCAGAGAGGAAATTTCTTAATTTCCTCAGACATTTAGTGAGAAATATTTAAATAATCATATATTCCGTTTTGAGATGATGGGAATGTTCCTGGATCAGGACATGGTTTACCTGAACCCGGAGGGGAGGCCTGCAGGTGATCTCTGTTGTAATGTCCGTACTGTCTGTAGCTGTTCGTGTAGGGATACTCTGATTTGGTTGGATAGGCTCCAGCAGCTCCCATCCCGTTCAAATTAAACTGATGGTGGTAAGAGTTGATCGGCTGTCCGTACGCCTGGCTCTGGTAATACTCATGGTGGCCGTGGGACGTCTGTCCGCTGTAGTAGCCCATGTCCGTCACCGAGGACTCGGGGAGAGTCGGGGAGTCTTTGGAGCTCGGATGGCAGCTCATAGATCCGGGTAGATCTGTTAGAATACTCGCGATCTTCTTCTCGTAGTTCTGTCCGGCGCTCATGGTGAAAGAAGCGCTCCGGGAATAAAATAAAAAATAAAAAAGAGAGAAATCCTCCTTCCTGTTGGTTTGCTTTAAGGAGAGGCAGAGAAAAACAATGCAGGCGCCTCAAGGATGCTGAGGTTATAGTCCTCTGAAACTCCTCCAGCTGCAGAAACGTTCTTAATGCATGGCTCAGCTGCTGGGACACAGAGTTATACGGAGCTGAGCTGCAGCCCGCCCTCCTATTGGCTGCAACCCCCCCGCGCGCTCACAGAGGCGCCCTGATGAAATCCAGCCTTCTGCAAGGACGCTCTCACACTCCCACCCCTCAATCACTTTTATTATTATTTTATTGCAATATTTACCTGTAAAGCATTCAGCTCCACACACTTTAAAAATGAGCTGATTTTGAAGCAGAGTGCCGCTCATTGCCACACAGAGCATGTTTTTCTAAAGCCTAATCCTGCAGCCAGACTGTCTCCCTAATGTTTTATGCAATGTTTTCTTAACAGCATCGAGATCACACTTTATTGAGCCTACTGATGTGCTGCCAGCCGCCCCCCCACAGACTGCTATTGTTATTTAAAGCTGCTGGCGGACCGAGAATTTTATGTAAAATGCGATGAAAGAGATAGGAGGAGAAGAAGAGGGGTTTAAAAACAAACTAGTTGAACTGATAGAGCCTGAGGGTGAATTCCGATGCTCTATCCATCTTAGATGGCTATAAGCAACCAGCTCTGCTAGAAGTTTACGGGAGAGGAAGACAGGAACAGCTATAGATGAAAGGAGACACACCCTCTAGTTTAAATTATTACATTTACTCACCTAGCTTTATTAAAGCGGATTTTCTTATCCTTTTTTCAGACATAATCGCTTATCCATGTCAGCAGCATGGTCCACAGCGCCACCCTGTGGTTGAAAACCTTCATGAATTAATTCAGTTTTACGCGATGCCAGTTTGAAGCAAATGTAGACCCTGGGTTGCGTTTTGTTTCCTTTATATCGGTTTAAAATACATTAATATGACTTATATTCCACTGCAACAATTAGAAGAAGTGCTTTTCTGGTTTTTCATTAGGATATCTGCAGGCAGTCATTTCTGGTGCAACATCGCCCTCTTCTGGTCAGAATTTATATCGCATTAAACACATCCTACATCATGTTGTTGGCAGCATGCTGCTACAGGGGTATTCTTTCTTTTCCTGGAACAGGTAAACAGGTCTTTGTTGAAAGGAAGATGCACAGAGCAAAATGCAGAAAGGAAAACTCGTAGAAGGCTTGAGACTGAGGCAGTTTCATCTTCCTACTGCACCAGCACTTCGTAAACAAGCAAAACATCCACCCAGCCATTTTCTTCCACACTTATCCCACACATGCACAAGGAGAACACGCAAAGTCCTTGCAGAAAGACCCAGAACCTCCTTGCTGCAAGGCTGCAGTGCTACCCAATGCACCCCCTCTACTAGCAAAACTATACACATCTAAATTATGTTCATGGATTAAACTCCAGACCTTGATGTAGTTAAATATAAGGCATAAAGTGCTTTTCAATGACAAGCCATCCAATCTCAGTTTGACTGCACTTTGTTGGATACAACCCAATGAATTCAAAGTCTAGATGTAATAATGTGATAAAGAGAAACCCAAAAATGTGTGGCTGTAACTGCAAGGAAAACTTGAAAATGTTGACCTAGCAACATGGTGGAGGATGAAATCATTTTACATGTCACACTTAGAGAACTCTTTGAGTCTTAGATGCCATTATTTAACCAAAATGAAAAAAAAAATGTATTAACACCATAAAAGATGAAGTAAAAACATTAAGAGTTACAGCCCCATTCCTATGGATGTTCAACCACTTTTCTCTGCAGAACAGGGGCAGAGCTAGTTGCTCCTACACTGGCTTATTTCTAGGGAAAGACATACTTTAAAAATCCTGGACAACTGTTCAATAGTGCATATACAAGTAAGTGCTTCAGTTTTTTCTGCAGGGTTCGGTCTGACATCTCAATTTTCAGGTAGAAAGAAATACTTTCCAAGCATTAGGAAATCAGAACAAAACTCAACAGCAGAACATGACCTTAGAAGCCTTCCTCACTCCAATAAAATTAGTTCTGCATCAATATCCTTATGGATGGTTCAGTATCAGGCCACCCTAGGCCTCATTCACTTTCTGTTCTGTCACATACTTAATAAGAGGCCTAAGTTTGGAGGAGGCTGAATCAAGGAGATAGAATAATGCGTGGAATCATTAGTCCTTTTAAAACTAAAGTCCTGTTGGTGCTGTGTATTAAAGTCATGGTTCCTCTTTTAGAACTACTCTATCTTCTAGAAAATGGTAGACGTCACCAATATGCAGAGGGTCTGTCTTTTATAGGCTATACTGTAAAGTTTCTCATAAAAATGTAAAGCAAATGAACGTCTACTTTCTCTACATGTTCATCTAGGAGGAGCGTTTCTACAAAGTCAGTGACTCAGTGAATCAGCTGGGTTTCCTTAGACAGAAAACTATCTGTGTGTTTGAATTGATTCTTTAAGGTGATGTGATGATAGTTGGCATTGTATAAATTATGTGAACTGAAATAAAACTGGAACTGTAGGATTAAATCAACAAATTAACCCCAAAAGAAAAACAATAATTCAGCAACATCCTGTCATATTCATTTACACCATAATTAATTTGCATGCCTGATTAATTTATCTTAACTACAGATGAAATCTACTCCTCAATTAAATTAACCTCACATTGGATAAAAACATGACCATCAAATTAACACATTATATAAATCTAACTTCTCCTTCCAAAAAGTCTATTTGATTTCAGATTAATATAATAAATATGAGCAGATTCTGTTAGACTGATAATCTCTAATCTCCCACTCCAGTAAGACAAAAGTGTTTTGAAAGACTTTTGTTTATAAAAGATGATTTCAAGAACTCGTACCAAGTGCAATCGTCATACTGCACAGGAAAATTATTGCATTTATTTTAAATAGAAGCTTCTCAAAAGATTATCAATCAAACAGTTGTTTAGCCTATTAATCTCAAAAAAGTTTAAAAAGACTTTGGATACATCTTAACTTGTAAGACTTGCCTAGATGGACTCTTTTTGCAGCACAGAACACCATCTATTTTCTAATTATGATTTACCTTAACGTCTTTGTTAAAATGAGGGAAGACTTGCATGATGTATGTTTGTTTTATGTTTCCGAATTATAGCAGTCTGCCTGAGGGTCAAAGTGCTCCTCTGTAGGCCTGGTAGAGGGGCTTCATGTGCTTGTGAAGATCCTCAGTCATCCAGGTCATAGTCATTTAAAAAAAAAAAAAAAAACTAAATTCAAACTTGGAAAACAAAGTTCAGGGGTTTGTTTTTTAACTTTTTCTTTAACTTTTTTGGAGGTGCTTCATATGTTTCTCTATAAAACGATCTGTTGCATGAGCAGGGTAACTTCTTAGTAATGTTTTACAGATACCTGTGGCACTAAAAATATTCTCAAAAACAGACACTACTCTAGGATTATTTTAATTTAATCCCGCCAAGGAGTTGTACTTTCTGGAAGTGTTTCCACCAATGGCCTCACATGCAGAGGTGAACAGGATAGTCAGAGTTAAGGAGCACCATGTTGTTACCAGGATCAGAGGCGCCATACTGCTGCAGGATGATCCTGTGCAGACATTTAAACACGAAAACTGAAGGGGATCTAAAAGCTTCCAGGATATTTTTATTTGCAGAAAAACCTTGTTTAGTAGATAATATATGTAGACGGCACATTGTGAGCACTTAAATATAGGGTAGTTTAAATATTGAAACATTTCCATACAGCAGAGTTTACTAAAATCAAATAAACTTGTTTATTTTTGCCTAAACACTGGTTTTGTATGATTTTTTTCAAGCTGAAAAATCTCTTTGATTTGATTAGTTTTCATTGTAGCTTGAGAAAAAAGATTGAGAAAGTTGGCTCTTCTGCAGGGGTATCTCATTTGGCTCTTCTCTTCATTGCCTCCAGCTTGTATAGACTTCTCTACCAAAGTACTAACTTAGTCATCAAGCACACGAGACAGGAGACATTTTTCTCCTTTGAACTGGTAGCCTGCCGTGCCATGACCCAAACGCACAAGTTCAGACAGGCTTTGCCTTCATCTCTTTATAACAGAGTACAACCTTACACTTAACAAAACAGAGACACCCAACATGCAACAGTGGTAAAAATCATACCTGAAAAAGAAAAACCTAATTTTGACCCATAACCCTACCTATTTTTTACAAAAAAAAGTATTACATTCAGTAACAATGCTGATGTTGATGTTGTTTGATTAATACAAACACCTCATTTACCTAAAGCTCCATATTATAGCATGGTCTCCACAGCATTTAACTCCACATACCTCCTGTTTCTTGATTTCTTTATCTAATCTAAGTCTGATCTGATTTCTCGGCTTAAAGTCAGATTAGTTTCTAAAATAATATTTGATAAATTAAACTTTATGAGATGGATTGGTACAAGTTGTCATGATTTTATTTTAAGATCTGACCCACATGCAGAAAACCAAACAGAGAGACCAGGGGAAGGTTTAACAGGTTTATTGAGAACTGGTAGAGATGGGTCCAGTGCTGCTCTGAACACTGGCGAACCGGGACTGAAAAGTGAAGGGGAAGTTCCTGTGATTAGTTCAGGCTCAGTAGAAAAATTGAGCTTTGATTTGCAAAAGGGAATAAAGGCAACAGGACTCACGTTTCCAGTAAAGGTGTGTTTCTCTGAATCCAGTCAGTGCGGGTTGTTCTGGTAATTGACTTGCTCGTTGGAGGGTGGACAGGGTTTAACCAGGTTGAGGTGTTTCCTTGAGGAACGGAGGAGCTGACTGCCACTTAGATTTCCAATTGTACTTGAACTGATTCTTGTGGAGATAAATCCCCTTCTCAGTGTGAAGCTCAAACTATCCTTTGGGGAAAAGTAGATCCAAACCTCCTGTTTGAATCCCCAGCTCAGTTGGAAGCTCAGACAATCCTTCCAGGGGGAGAAGGTCCAAAACATCCAGTTTGCAGGATGACTTCCTGCTGGGAGGCAAAGACAAAAAAACAACAAGGTTAAGGCTCAGGTTGACAAAAACTCAGTTTGACTCAGCAAAACTCAGCTTGGCTAGAGTACCCAAACCTGGCAAACACTCTGGCGTCGAGGTGGTGGCAG